GATAAATACCAAGGAATATGGTAAGAAACTGCCAAACTTCTTCCAAAGTGGCTAAAACATTTTGCATTTCCACCAGCAATGAATGACAGTCCCTGTTACTCCACACCCTTCAGTATTTGGTGTTGTGTTGTGAATTTTGGCCATATTCTAATAGGTGTGTAGTGGTATCTCACTGTTGTCTTAATTTGTATTACCAGATGACATATAATGTGGAACATCTCTTCATATTCTTATTTGCCATCCATATATCTTCTTTGGTGAGGAGTCTATTAAAGAATTTGGCCCATTTTTTAACCAGGTTATTTTCTTACTATTGAGATTTAAGGGTTCTTTGTATATTTTAGATAATAGTCCTTTATTAGATGTGTCTTGCAAATATTTCCTCCCAGTTTGTGTCTTGTCTTTTCATTCTCTCAATAGGGTCTTTTGCAGAGCAGAAAATTTTTAATGTTATTCAACTTATCAATTGTTTCTTTCATGGATTATGCCCTTAGTTTTGTCATTTGACTAAAGTCACCACCAAACTCAAGATCATCTAGATTTTCTCCTATGTTATCTTCTAAGAGCTTTATAGTTTTGTGTTTTACATTTAGGTCCATGATCCATTTTTTAACTAATTGTTGTGAAGAATGTAAAGTCAGTGTCCAAATTCATTTTTTTCCATATATGAATGTCCGGTTGTTCCAGCACCATTTGTTGAAAAGACAATTTATGCTCCATTTTACCTTTATTCCTTTGTTAAAGATCAGTTGACTGTATCTTTATGACCTTCTTTTGAGCTCTCTATAGTCTATTCTAATGATTTCTTTGTCTATTGTTTCACCAATACCATACTATCTTGATTACTATAGTTTTCTAGTAAGTTAGAAGTCAGGTAGTGTCAGTCTTCCAACTTTGTTCTTCTCCTTCAACACTGCATTGGCTATTCTGGGTCTTTCACATCTCCATATAAACTTCAGAATCAATATGCTGATATGCAGAAAATAACTTACTGAGATTTTGACTGGGATTGTGTGGAATCTATAGATCAAGTTGGAAAAAACTAATATTTTGACAATATTGAGTCTTCTGTCCAGGAAGATGGAATATCTTCCCATTTATGCAATTCTCTTGATTTCTTTCATTGGTTTGTAGTTTTCTTCATACAGATCTCATCCATATTTTGTTAAATTTTTTTCTAAGTATTTCATTTTTGAGGGTGCTAATGTAAATACCATTGTTTTTAATTTCAAATTCTACATAGATGAATTTGTTCGTTTTTGGTACATTGGAAAACAATCAACTTTTATATATTAACCTTGTATCCCACAACCTTGCTATAATTGTTTATTAGCTCTAGGAGGATTTTTTGTTTTTGTTTTTTGTTTTTTTTTGTGGTCAATTGTTTTGTATTTTCTACATAGACAATCATATGACCTGTGAACAATGATAGTTTTATTCTTCCTTCCCAAACTATCTCCCTTTTATTTCTTTTTCTAGCCTTTCTGCATTAACTAGGGATTCCTCTTTACTTCATCTATCCTTTCTCCTTTCTAAAGATCAATTTGGTGAGAAGAGAATTGGACTTCTTTAGACTTTTGATATAAGAGAAGAAAAATCTAAAATTTCATTTCAGATCTGAAAAGTTTTTTGAAGTTCTTATTCTCCAAAAATATTTCTAAGATCATATTAGACAGAAACTTAAACTGAGACCGAGCTATAATACAAATTAGAATAACTAGATGAATGCTGAACACAAGTCTGTTGAATACATCTATGAATCTAGAACTTTAGGGATAGTAAATATATAGTTTGCAGGCTGTCACTTCTCCATTCTGAACTCCTGGCAGACACTGCTAATCAAAATCATCACTCTCACCTGTTAGGCTAGGCTTCTTGCACAATCTTCCTAGCAGCACCATTCCTATCTCAAGGTCGGTTCACGGAATAAAATTATTTACCATCTTTGAAGTATAATATAAATAGTTTGTAAAATAAATAGATTTTTCTTAATTCTCAGGATGTACTTCAACCAGAATAAGATGAAAGGTGAAAGAATTATAAAAGTTGTGACTCTTTTCCCCCTAGCTTCTAAAATTGTACAGATAGCTGCAGCTTTTGCATAAATCAGAGTTTCTTCTATCCTAATGATGATAGTAAGTAATTACATATATGTGTGTATATATACATACACACATATGTGTGTGTGTATATATACACACACATATATAGAGAAAACAGATAAATTCCTTTTATTAATAATCAATCGTAATGACCATGTATCTATGGTAATGACCATAAATAATGTTATCTCAAGCCAAGTTTAAATCTTTGGACACTGCAAGATGTTCAGCATCATTAATCATTAGAGAAATGAAAATCAAAACTACAGTGAGATAATCACCTCGCATCTGTCAGAATGGCTAGAATCAAAAAGACAAGAAATAACAAGTGTTGGTGAGGATGTAGAGAAAAAGGAACCCTTCTGTACTGTCAGTGGGAATGCAAATTGGTGCAGTCACTGTGGAAAACAGTATGGAGCTTCTTCAAAAAAACTTAAAATCAGAAATACCATATGATCCAGTAATTTCATTAGTGGGTATTTACCCAAAGAAAATTAAAACACTAGTTCAAGAAGACATACATACCCTTATGTTTATTGCAGCATTATTTACAATAGCCAAGATATGAAACAACCTGTGTCCATCCATAGATGAATGGGTAAAGAAAATATGGTATATAAAAATAGTGGAATATTACTCAGCCATTAAAAAAGAATGAGATCTTGCCATTTGTGACAACAGGATAAACCTAGAGGGTATTATATTAAGTGAAATAAATCTGACAAAACAAGATAAGTACTGTATGATTTCACCTATATGTAGAATCTAAAAAATAAAACAAACAAACAAACAAAAAGGAGAAATAGACCCATAAATACAGAGAACAAATGGTTGGTTGCCAGATGGGAGAAGAGTGGCAGGATGGGAAAAAGGGTAAAGGAATAATGGGAGATACAGATTTCCAGTTATGACTTATGAATAAGTCATGAGGATAAAAGGTACATCATAGGGAATGGTATAATAGCATTGTATGGTAACATGGTAACTACACTTGTGGTGAGCACAGCATAATGGATAGAAATCTCAAATAACTATGTTGTACACCTGAAACTTATGTAACATTATGTATGAACAATACTTCAATGAAAAAAAAACTTTATTTAAATAAATAAATAAATATCTGGGTACTGTAGATCATTCTGAGCAGAGCTAAAATGATGTTCCCATTTTTCTTCTCAGGTTTCTATGGAAACACTTTTTGAGATGAAGTTTGCCAGCAGAAAATATTTAATTTTTAAGTAAAATGATAACAAGTACTTTTTATCTATGCAAAACAAAAATTCTTTATAGATGTCTGAACTCAAGCTAAAATGTGATTTCATTATTTGTCTCCCAAGACAACCAAATCATAGAACCAACACTACTTAGGGTTTCCTGGTATGCATGTGAGAAGAAAATTATGCCTTATTCTTCAGTTCAGGAAATGTATTATTTGTTATACTTATGAAACCATTTTATATTCTCATGCAAAATCCAAGATAATACACATTTTAAGGCATGATAAATTTAACAGATGCTGATAAAATTTTCAATTCAATTAAGTTTTAATGGGTCTTTAATGTGAACTCTGTCTTTAATAAAAATAAAACATAACATAAACATACACACATGCCCACAAACAGCTGTCTATCCCTGCTATAAAATAAGGGCTTCTTCTAAGGGTATAAATGGAGCACCTATGTAAAGTAGGCTTGTTCTCTTTTTTTAAAAAATGCACTTTCAGAATAAAGAGCTTATGTTTATTCAAAATTTTACTTCCTAGAATTTTAAAAGTGTACTAAGAACTCTGTGTCTACATTATGCATGGTGTTTATATATTTTTAAATATTAATCCTGGCCAGTATCAGCCTTGGTCTGTTCTCCCTAAAAGATCTTGTTGGTCAGTCTACAAGCAGCATTCCTCTACCTTTCTGATCATTTTTGTTGTCTTTTTTGTGAGGTTCATTTACTACACTTGTATATAATATCCCAGATGCAAATGGACAATTGTTTTATCCTAGAATTAGGGCAACTTACCAGACACTCTTTTTTGTTAAGAAAACAAAAAAGAGTGTCTGGTAAGAGACACAGAAGCCTGCATCTACATTATTATGTCTAACATTGAAAATGTCTACAACTGATCAATCAAGAATAGCAGAATAATTTCATTGCTTAAATATTTTAAAGTATACCAGAGGGACACATATAGATGGCCAGAAGATGGCTACCTTTTAGTCAGGAGCAGAAAGAAGAGTTGAGTCAGAAATAGCTATTATTATAAGCTTTTTAGTAGTACTGTACTTTTTAGATTAGGTCCATATATTGTTTTGCTAATAACTTTTTTAAAATATTGGAAAATTAAAAGTAGGGGAGGAAACTCATTTGTTAATTAACAAACAGATATGTTAGGATATATGTCCACTGACCAGGATATTTAATTCATAAATAACACAAGGTCAAATGTAAAACAGGTATTTACATTGTCCTCCTCCTCTCATTTACTTTTTATCTCTTAATTTGGAAATGTTGAATAAAACAAGTTTTCTCAAGAAGAAATCTTACTATATCTTTCTCTAAGCAGAAAAATATTCACCTGTTCCTCCTCTGGATTTTGTCCCAAGCCATCTTTCATAGCAAACGTTTGTCATTCACCTTGAAATCCTATGGTAATTCATTTTCCATAAATCCATTTGAGTCCTCAGAAAACTCCAAAAAATAAGGCTTAAGTTCTCCTTATGACTGTATTTATTTAAATTTGTACATAAAATATTCCTCCCAATTGGCCATACTTATTTAAATTCTTTTAAACTAATCCTAACTATAGACCCTACCATCTTGCTCAATGACATGCCGCTGTCTTTCCTTCACCATTTTTGTTCAGTAAGAATGCTTCTCTCATTTGCCTGTATGATGTTCTACCTCATCCGTCTGCTCTCTTTGCAGCCAGGTCTTGTCTGACTCTGGTCCACTTCTGTGCACACTTTCAAAGCCTCTGTGCCCAGATCACTGACCTAGAGCTCCTGTGACAATGTCTTCAGTCTTCTGCTGAGGGCTGTTCCTCTGGATAATGTAAACTGTCACCATCCATTGTAACTTCACAGTAGGTAGCAAAAAAGAATCAAAATAAATTAACCTCAGCTGCTATGTGCTGCAGTACATTGTCTTTTCATAAAGTTAAGACAGCATGACACCAACAGAACAAACCCCTTCACCTTTATACCTACAGCTAAAAATACATCTCCCAAATGTAGGTTTAAAGTGACAAACTTTTTTTCATCTGGGATGGTTGACATTTTTAAGACATAATAACTAGTTCTAAAAATTTCGAACATGAGATGAGAGGTCAAAGTCCTTTATAAAATAACAATTTTTATTATAGAAACAATCTGGTAATATATGAGATGTATATGTAATATAATACTGATATGTAATATATAAGAAATGTATTGAGAAAATGTAATATATGAGAAGCCAGATTTACAAAATCAATTAGGTGCTTTTTTCAGTACAAAAAACTTTCATCATCTGAAAATTTTTACCATAAAAATTTTAGAAAATAGTTTCCAGACATTTAAGATTTTTTCTCTCCATAGATCATTTACTATTTGACTTCTCTGACCAAGAAAAAAAACAGATACTTTTAAGCCTAGCCTATTCTATTGTGAACCATTGCCAGCTAAAGGCATTTTTTAAAAAATGATGCCACTATCAAATTTATGTAAAATTTTCAAAATATGACTTATTGTATAAAGCATATGTTCACAGATGTGTCCAAAAGCAGGTAACTAGTCTTTTTTTCCTCTTCTTTCCTCCTTTTTCCTTTTCCTTTTAAAAAAATTTTTGTTTTTGCTTTATTTTTTGAGACAACATATAAAACTTCAGGACTATTACATAAAATCTAGACTCCTTGCTTCTCCTCAGAAAAACCCGAGGATCTGGCAACTCACATTTCCACTGGCAACAAGCAGCTAGAGTTGAAGAGCTAAGTTCTCTTTCATGCGCAGCATGAATACCCTATGTCATAAAGGCCCCATTCACATACTGTTGCATACCACATCCAGCCAAATCCACACATTTAAATTACCTGCTTAATGTCTATAGGCATTTGTTTGATTTTGTGAATATTTAGTTTCTTAAATAAACTAGTTATGGTACTCATTAGTTAATTATGGTACCCATAAATGATGATCTTAATAGTTACAGGAAGTCTCAATAGTTGTAAGATATTCTATTTAATGGCTAGTTTTCATGAATAAAATAATCTTACATTTAAATTAATAGTGATAGAAATAGGACTCTTCTGTGGAATAAAAATACATTTTTAAAAAATTGAGCTTTTTTCCATTTTATTTCTTTTTTTAAAAATTGAGCTTTTGTGTAACTCAGTTGAAAACTGAAACCAGACAAACAGTAATTTTTCTTGTTTTGCTACTAATTTGATATAATATATATTAGTCTTCTCAGGCTGCATAACAAATTATCATAAACTTGGTGTCTTAAAATAACAAGAGATTTATTTTCTCACAATTGTGGAGACTAGAGGTCTGAAATCAAAACACTGGCAGGGTTGCTCCCTGGAAACCTATACAAGAGAATCCTTCCTTTCTGCTTCCAACTTCTGGTATTCTTTGGTTTGTGGCAATAGAATTCCAGTCTCTGACTTCATGTTCACATGATCTTCCCTTCACTAAGTCTGCGTTCTGTGCCCTTTTTCCTATAGGGACACCAGCCATTGGATTTAGAACTGACTCTAAATCCATATCATGTCACTTTGAGATTCTTAACTTGATTATAACTGCAAAGATCTTATTTCCAAATAGGGTCACATTTATAGATATGGAGAGAGGGAGGAAAGGGTTAGAATTTGGACATTCCTTTTTCTGAGGAATAAAATTAAACTCACTACATACGAATTTTTCACAGATTCAAATAAATCTGTGGCCCAGTTTGGTTTAAGTATTTAAGCTCTAGTCATTTTCCAATTTAAATTCACATATTTAATAAAGTCAGACCATGAAAATGAAGTTTTCCTTTGGATTCAAAACTAGGATCTCTGCTGAACCATAATTAGTTGCATCTAATGAGCCAGTTCTAAGCTACAAGACTAAATGGAGGTACAGGAAGTCTTACAATTTAAGCCACTTTTAAAATCAGAGTAGTTAACCACTTTTCTTTCTTTGATTAGGGATTTTCAAGATCGGTGCTTGGCCCCTGCAATGGATGCTGGAACAGGCTAATTCCACTTTGATCTTGTAAGAACCAACTTCTTAAGCTTCCGGGAATTTTGAAAGCTAGTAGTAGTTTGAAATTGTCCATAGTGGGAGTGTTTACACCACAAAAGTTGGCAAATGCTACAAATCAAGGGCCTTCCAGAGAGCCTGGAGAGCCTGCTGTTAAACAGTTACCAAGACACCACTGCCTGCGCTTTATCAAGTGGTTCAAAGGTGGTTTGGCAATTTCATAAATGTGAAATGCAAGATTAATTTTTTAAGGTTTTATTTATTTATTTATTCGTTTATTTGAGAAAGAGAGAGAGATACAAGCAGGGGGTGGGGGAGGAGCAGAGGGAGAGGGAGAAGCAGACCCCCAGCTGAGCAGGGAAATTGATGTGGGGCTCAATCCCAGGATCCTGAGATCATGACCTGAGCCGAAGGCAGACATGGGGCTCAATCACAAGACCCCAAAATCATGACCTGAGCTGAAGGCAGAAGCTTAACCAACTGAGCCGCCCAGGTGTCCCAAGATTAATCATTACCATTACACAAATATTGGTGCTTCTTTATCATCATTTCTTCTAAAGATTTTCAGGAGCAGCAAGGATCACTCCCGTCAAAGCTAACAAGGTGAATTAGTCTCAGCTAGTGAATTCTCACATTTATGCCTTGCATAAAGCAGGCATTCCAAATTGTTATAGTGTGTTACATCTACTAAAATAGATCAGTGACTCACAATAATTCAGAAAAGCATAAAAGTAATGACAGAAAGGGGTAAAGAAATATATATACATACATATATATGTATATAAAATAGTATTCCAGTGCAAATGTGGAAATCGAATGTTGCTCTGACAAAGATTCTATGACTGTATTGATTATTTGCAAATAATACAGCTACAAATATCTAAAAAGTAGATTTTGTTGGCCAAGAGATACTAGTCTCTTCTATCCCACAGTGTATTGTATGCTATGAGACAATGAAATAATAATGAGGTAAAGAAGTTCTTTCATTTGCAAACATAGCAGTGACCTTTTTAGTAAACCAATTACATATTTCCAGAATGAATGCATAATATATGTTTCCAGCATGAAGTTGATCAACTTTGTTATCAACTTTTGTTAACTTTGTTAATCAATTTAGGGTGATGTAACCAAAACCGAGGAGACCCTCTTCATAGTTTACTGCTCACAGAAAAAGGGGTAGACATTCTGTTATTACTGAAACACTTGCTAAATGAGCTACAAAGTTGATAAGTATCACATTCACAAGAAAAGCAGAATGAGCTAAAGATAAATTCCTTTACCAAATGGCATTATTTATTTAATATAAGTTACACACAATGTGTAAGCAAGTGTAAGTTACACACTTGTGTAAGCAAGTGCTGTGACATGTTTATTGTAAGAAAATGTGCACTTAGAAGTGGTAGTGCAAGCCGTGTGTGTGTGTGTGTGTGTGTACAAGAAGCAGGAGTATTGCTGGACAAAGAAATTGCACCCAAATGCCAGGCCTCATACTGCCTCATTCATAGAGAACCATTAGCAGTCACCAACCTACCTCCTCATTGACTCCATATTGAAGGATATGATTCAATTTCAAATATGTTCTAATTGATTCAATAAACTTTTATTGTACATGATAGGGACTGGCTGGTGGGGTGGGAATATATCAGTAATGAAGCAGACAAAATAATCTGCTTCATTTTGCTGTGTGTGTTGGTGGGGAGGAGGACAGACAATAAACCAAATAAACTGAATTTCATAGTTGATATTTGATAGTTTTTGTCCTACAGAAATAATAAGTTCATACAGTTCAACTTAATATTTTTTAAAAAAAGATAAACACCATAGATATAAATAAAGCAGGGCAGAGGGAGAGGGAGTTTTGTAATGAGATAGGGGTCAAGGTAAGTGCACTGGGAGGTGAGGGAAGGTTTCACTAGTATGACTTTTTCAGTGAGCTGTGCAGAGAAAGTGGCAGAACAAGATGACTTTTCCCACTAAATAATGCTAGCTGTTGAAAGGACACCTGAGATTTTGAAAAGATAAGCAAGATAAAAGGATTTCTTCATGAATTGATAGATGGTTTCTTATTTCAAGTGATTTGCTCAAGCTCTGTGCCTCAAAGATAAATCCTGTATCTTAAACAGTCTGAAATTATCACTTTATGGCCAAAACACAAAATTTTGATATTGAGATTGAGGATATCAGGATTTTTCTCTTTCTTTCTTTTTTTGAGAAAGAGAGGCAGGTGAAGGGGCAGAGAGAAGAGGAGAGAGAGAATCCTAAGTAGTCTCCACACCCAGTTCAGAGCCCAGTGCCAGGTTCTGGTGAATGCCAACCCTGAGATCATGACCTGAGTCAAAATCTAGAGTTGGATGCTCAACGAACTGAGCCCCTCAGTTACCCTAGAGGATATCAGGATTTCTCTTTCTTTCTTTCTTTCTTTCTTTCTTTTTTTTTTTAAGATTTTAATTATTTATTTGACAGAGAGAGAGAGATCTCAAGTAGGCAGAGAGGCAGGCAGGGGGGTGGGGGGAAAGCAGGCTCCCTGCTCCGCCTGATGTGGGGCTCAATCCCAGGACCCTGAGACCATGACCTGAGCCGAAGGCAGCGGCTTAACCCACTGAGCCACCCAGGCGCCCCATCAGGATTTCTTAAAATAAGTGGTGGGACAGGAAACGTGGCTGCCAAGAGTTCAATGCTTGCCAGAGAAAGAAATTAAGCTTATTTGTAATCTGAATCAAAAT